GTGTCCAGTAACAATCTTTGCTTATTTGTCAAATGTTTCAGAAGAACTAGCAGGTCAACATGTTTGTTGAAGAAGGATTGTTTCCGCCTCCCAGCAGGGCATCAGCTCTGTTGACGGTAAACGGTATTGTCAAAGAAGAGATAAGGGGAAAAAAAGAGATACAAATCCACAGTTTGTATTAATGTATTTATAGGATTAAAACGGTTTCGAGCCGCTTCCAGTACAACTCACCCTTCTGTTCTTCGGTTTTTACCCTCAGTGTCGCTACACAGTCATCACACGTGGCGGCGCTGTCTGTCCGCTTGTTAAAACAGAAATGAAAACGTCCGCATGACGATTAAAAGAGCGACACGCGATTGGTCCGCGTCAGCAGACTGGAAAAAACATTTCCGTGGAATTCAAATTTGATTGGTTGATGTTTGTGCATTTGCCAGGAGGTGATTGGTTTGCAGTTTCACTACACGCCACGCCCATTGGCCCATTCCGAAGAGTGACGCCGGTTACCGTAACACCTTGGTAGAAGCGCATCTTTCGATTCTAATGGCTCTTTCCTGACTGAAATTTGAATTTGTAGAGACCTTTGGTCTGAAGATGACTTCAGCGTGCCTGGAAAATTAGAAGCGTCTCTTGTCATGGTTGCACGGAGCGGTTTTGAGGTGCGGGGTCTTTTTTTCTAGCCTGCAGCTCCACTGTCTTGTGTTTTGAAAAACCGTTAACTCGGATCGGGTGCTCTCGATCGTCTCATTTATCGTCATTATTTATTTAATTGAGCTGTTAGCTTTAACAGACTGCACATAGTACATTATAGAGAGAACACGAGTCCTCGCATTATCACCTGAACACAATGCAAGGGTCATCAGTTATTGGAAGCGCTAGTTCTCTTGAAGTGTTAAGCGCATCCTTGTGATATTCGTGTTATGCGCGTTTGTTATGATCTCTATGGTAACTACAGTCCCCTTTCAGTCCAATCACAGCCCGACACGGACTCGGGGATCCGGTCATCGGGAAGGTATTTTGAGGGGGGGGGGGTGTATTGGGGTTGTGAGTTAATTATTAAGTGTTTATAAACATCAGATCAGTAAAACGTGAACTCACCCAGTGTTAAAAAAAGAGTTTGAGACATTTTCCATTGCATTGACGCTGAAGATGAAAAAAAGCATAAATTAATAATTTGAACTGGGTGGTTGGTACAGTCCGGCGGTCGTGCCGAGGGTTGGAGATTATATTTTAAACTGAAATGGGGGGGTGCAGAATATTTACATGTTTGATTTCCATATTCTCTTCCAAGGTCTCTCAACCTCGCAGGGGTGAGGGATCACTGGGTGTCTTCCGGCGCTGTAGAATGTATTGAACCCGGGCTGCATGAACCACGGTCGCGGCAGAGCGACTCCTCGGTGCTCCCCCTGCCCGAGCAGATGGTCGGGTCCGAGCCGGAAGTGAGGTGTCCCTCCTGCTCAAGGAGGATCTGTGGAAAATAAACACGCAGCTGCGAGACGGAGTTGTTCGAGACGCGCGGAAGGAGCGGGTGATAATCCACGGGAGAGGCCAGCTGGGGACGTGAAACGTTACGGGAACGCTTGTGGACCCGTTTTGCGCGCCGGTCTTGCCCGAACAGAGCCCACACCGACTGGGAGCGCCCGAAGAGGCCGGGGGAGGACTGCATTCCGCCGGCGTGACAGAGAGAGAG